CTCGGTGTTGCTCCCGCGCCTCGCTCAGCCAGTGAGCGGGAACCGGTCTGTATGTGGGATCCGAACCCTCGGGCGGGAGCGCCGCCGTGCTTCCCAAGCGGCGCACTATCCAGTGCGCCACCGGGCCGGCCCTGCTTTGACTTTTATTGAAGATCATAAGCAACAGTGGTTATGTCAGTTCTGATTCTGCATTTGCCTGGACTGTTATGGACATTCATGTATCACTCAGTATTTCCTGTATAATATATCACTTCAGAAGTGAGTTATATAATAATTCCTGTTTCTTTTACTTTTTGCTTTGCCTGCAAGGAAAATCAGTCAAGATTTATACTAGATCATCGCAATTTTGTTGACCTAGAGGTGACACATTTGCATTCTTGCTTTCTACTTTTTTTCTTTTTATTCTTTTGTTAATCTATTTATAAAAGCAGTAGCCCATGCCTCCTGTAGCACATATTTTCTTTCCTTTCTTCTCCATTCCCTCCCCTGTATTAAGTATTTTACAATTGCCTTTAAGAAACTGAGTTTAAGGATTTATAGGAAAAGATGAAGATTAGACTCTCAATGATATAGTCAACCCTTGTAGAGAAAAGAATCAGCCATAGGGCCAAGCCCCATGCTCCCTCAGAAATGGGTGCCTTTGTTCTCTATTCAGGTTTTTCCTAACCTTATCTGTCTCTGTGGCCAAAGTGTTTCTGCTATTCCCTGTTAGTTAGCTATCTCAAGTGACTGTTCCCTTCTTGAAACCCTGTCTGTGTGCTGTTCTCTCTCTTGTTCTCATTACTAAAACTCACATTCACATTCCAAAAGAGAGTATCTGATTGACTAACTTAATGACCTGTTAGTGCCAGGCCACCTTCTATGTCATTAGCCAGCCGAGAGATTCTTCTTTAGTCATGTGCCATACTTGATTGAGTAGGGTCATGTGACACAAGTATGTGACCTATAAAACCTGTCAGAATTGGCATAGCAGGAACTCAGCATTACCCCCTTCTTTTCCATTATGATACAACAATTGATTCACTCTGAACTTGTTAAGGACAGTTGTTAAACTGGATTTTCCCCCAAACAAGTCAGCTTGATATTTATAGATTAAGGTTTAGATGAATTACTGATCTCATTCCCAAAATATTTTGCGGTTTTTTTCCCCTCCTAATTTCATTCTTAGTCACAAAACAAAGGACAGTCTTTACCACCTTTTAGCCACAATTTAAAATAAGCCCATGGTACTGATTGTTGGTCCAAGAAAGCCCATCTGTTAGACACTATGAAAAGAAAAGAAAATTTAAATGTTTCCATTCTTGTTAGCATCTCTATATTTGGAGGAAGAAGAGATAGAAGCTATGAGCTGAAATAAGGTTTTAGATTATTAGCCTCACCTGGGTTTTAATCTGGCTTTCTCATTTACTGGATGATAGATGAGAATCTTTTCTAAGTAAGCTTTAGTTTACTCATGAATAAAATGGAGATTATGGTATTTGCTTCCTGTGACTATTAGAATTAAATGATAGGATACATGCAAAGTAGTTAGCAAAGTGCCTGGCATATGAAAGGTGCTTGATAAATGTTAGCTCCTACTATATTTAGATCATTAAATCTTATTAATAATAAGGATCACCCTAGTCCAACAGGAAGTTCTTAGTGCTGATGAAAACTAACATTTCTTTGTGTATGAGCTGAGACCTAATTATTATTGAGTCCTTGTTTATTCGGCACTATGCTAGGTACCAACTGGGTATACAAGAGACATACTGCAATATGATTCTTGCTTTCTAATCTCAACTATGAAATGTCATTTCCAGAAATTTTTTTAAGGAAACTCAACCATATGATAGTGTTACATTGTTGAAAGTCTAGTTCTGTCACTAGCTGTGTGACCTTGGGCAAATTACTTAACTTTTCTGTGCTTCAGTTTCTTTATAGTTTTTTATAGTTTTGTTTGTAAAATGGGAAAGATACTTTATTGGATTGTTGTAAACAATAAATAAGTTGATATATGTAAAACACATAGTACAGCCTGTGATATATGGTAAGTGCTGTATAAATTGCTGCTGTTAGATTTTGATTCCCAGCAGCTGAATGGTTGAATGTTAGGCTCCTTGGGCAAACTGGCTACTCCTTCTTCTCTTCATTTAAATTGAATAGATTTCAGGCCAGCCGGTGGCTCACTCGGGAGAGTGAGGTGTTCGTAACACCAAGGCCACGGGTTTGGATCCCATATAGGGATGGCCGGTTGCTCACTGGCTGAGCATGGTGCTGACAACACCAAGTCAAGGGTTAAGATTCCCCCTTACCGGCAATCTTTAAAGTAAGTAAGTAAATAAATAAATAAATAAATAAATTGAATAGATTTCTTTGAGGGAGGTTTATAGTATATCTTTATACTAATGGTGACTTACAGTCACCATTGCCAAGGCAATTTTGTAGAATCCAGGTGGTAAGAGATTAGTGAGCTGAAGGACATGGCCTGCAGATAATCTTGTGGTTTCATTTTGATGAACACAGAATTTCCATATGTTGCCGGCCTGCCTTTGGTAATACTTTGGCAGGAAAAATGTATCTTGAAATTTTTACAAAGCTGATTCTCCCTCCACCCCTGAAATAAAATTTGGGGGGAGGGGGCTACAGGGAATGTGGTGCTACCAGTATGAAAGTAGGGTGTAGAAAAAGCATTTGAATTGAGACTTTTTACTTTAGCTTAACAAATCCAGCAGACAAGGAATTTTCTAATCAAGAGCTACTTCCCTTAATGGGGAAACTCATTTCTGATTTATATTTCCTTCTCAAGGAGTGAGAGTTTCCTTTTTGACATATTAGTGAGATTGAACATTTCTTTTCATTGTGTTTATTGATCATTTATATTACTTTTGTGAATTGCCTATTCATGTCCTTCCTTGACCTTTTTTTAATGAAGAGACTTATCTTTGCAGAAAACGGACATTAAATGTTTGCCAAATGTTTCAAATATATTTTTCATTTTATCAATTATCTTTCACCCTTGGTTGTGTTTTTTTTTATTTTGACCACACAGAAACTTTTAGTTTTAATGTAATGAATCTAAATTTTTCCTGAAAAGTATTTATCTTGTTATGGTTAGAAAAAAAATTTCTGAGTGTTGTGAAACCTGTCATAGTTTATTGTAGATGGATCCATTTAATAAACATGTTTTCTTACAAAAAGAAGGTGGTTGATTGTCACAGGATTTGCAAAATCTTTGCAAGCTAACAGGTCTAAGGCTATAATACCATAATAATAGCTACCACTCACCACTTCACACCTGGTGTGTGCCAAGACAGTGTGCTAGGTCTTTTATATACAATATTCCTAATACCCAGTTTCAAGCTAAATAGTATTATTGTTCACTTCTCACATATGAGTAAAGTGAGGCTTGAAGACATGAAATGATTTGCTCAGGGTCACAGAGCTAGTTAGTGACTGGATTGGAATTTTAACTGAAATCTGCGTAAGTCCAAAATATATACTTTCTCTGCACAGCTCTGCTTCTTTAAATTGGTCCTATAAGTTGTCTTTACTAGAACTTGATAAGAGGGTCTATAGCCTAGCTAGGCTGTTCTTTGTTCCTGAAAGCATAATAGATAAGATAATGAGAAACGTGTAAGGTTGCTTAAAGAAAGGTCTCTACTGTCTAGGGCAGTAGTTTTCAAAGTGTGGTTCTTAGACCAGCATCATCATCATTACTTGGGAATTTGTTAGAAATGCAAATTCTCAGGCCCCACACCAGATCTACATAATCAGAAACTCTAGGGTTGGGGCCCAGCAATCTGTTTATCTCCATTTGATTATGATGCATGTTAAAATTTTACAACTACTGGTCAAGGGAAATTATTTTCTAACTAGTGTTTTTTCCTGTTTCTGTTGGGTTTCAGCCTGTCTCAGCCCTTATGTGCAAAATTAGCATGATTGCATAGTGGCAAGAGTGTGGTGGCACTTAGGAGCTAGTTGAATCCGGGGTATTAAGCATTTAAGGCAAATTCACCTCCCTAAACCATAGTTTCCCATCTCTGAACTGATGTTAATAACTTCTGTCTCCATATAGGATATTATTTTAGAATAAAATAAGATAACGTAAAGAGCCTAGTACACTGCCAGTTTCCGAGATATTTGAGAAATTTCCTCTAGCAATTTTTTCTTGTTAGCAAAGAGCGCCCACCTCCATCTGTTCTAAATTCCTCTTGTTTCTTGAATGTATTTTGCTGTCTTTTGTCTCTGGGCCTTTGTGTTAACTCTTTCTGTTAGACACCCAACCTCCTACCCTTCTTTACCTCAATAACTTCTGTAATCCTTTAGATCCTTGTTTGTAGTTTATTCCACCTGAAGGAGGCTTTCCTTAACCCCTACCCCACAGTCTCTATAGCAGCCTGTATTTCTCCTTTCACTACATTTATCACATCATTTTGGAATCACCTGTCTCCTGTATAAACTTCATTGAGTAGCAGGTACAATGTTTTGTGCACTGCCATATTCCTAGGAACAAGTAGGGTTCCTCACACATTGTAGGAGCTAATAAATGTTGAATGAATTAATAGTGGCTGCCATTATTTCTTCACCATCATCATCCAAGAGTGATCTCCCTACTCAGGCTTGTAGTTTTTGTGCTGACTGCTTATGATAATCATAAGTAAATATTATTGGGACCAGTGCCTGTTTTCTCTTTCCCTGAAAGCACATGCTTTGACCTAGGCTGACATAGTAGTAGTTCACTCAGCTGCTTCCTAACCATAGATCCCTCTGTATCACAGGTCCCTTCGGGGAGCTATGTGCCTTGATGGATCAAGTTCATCATATGCCGAACTCAAAATGGCAGCATCCATCGGACCTCACCATGCGGTGAGTAGAAGAGGGAGGAAAAGGGTAGAATTTGGCTGCAGGAGGAATGTGGTGGGGAGTTGGGGTTGTAATTGTTTAATTCCAGAGGTGGAAAAAGAAGCAATGCAGTATAATGGAGTAAGAAGGTACTGAAATTCAGGAAACCTGGGTTCTAATACAAGCTTTGCAATTTTTAACTAGCTGTATATGATTTTGATCAAGTCACTTCACTTCTGTGGTCTTCACATCAGTGAAAGGAAGATGTTGGATTAATTGTTGTCAAAGGACCTTTCCAGTTCTGAAATCTGTATTCTTGATGCAGTGTGGCTTTACAGATTTATTCAGTTACTTTGATTCAGTTACTCAGAAACCTAGAAGTCATCTTTGACTCCTTTCTCTCTCACCCCGTATCTAGTCCATCAGCAAATCCTATAGACTCTACATATATATCCAGAATCTGACCATGTCTCATCATTTTACCTGGATTATTGCAAGTCTCCTAAATGGTCTCCCTGCTTCTTACCCTTGCATGTCTACTGTTCTCAACTCAGCAGGCAGAAATTCTTTTAAAGCATGAGTCAGATTCTCTTCTTTGCTCAGTATTTTCCAGGGGCTTCCCATCTCACATCTTCCCATCCTCACAATCCCCTACAAAGGCCTATATGTTTTGGCCTAGGCTCACCAGACTCATCTCCTACTACTCTTCCTCTTGCTCACTCTGCTCTAGTCATAATGGCTTCCTTGCTATTTTTTAAACATGTTAGACATGCCCCACCCCCCTTCAGGGCCTTTACATTCAAGTTTCCTCTATAGTTGCCAAAATCACAGCATTCTCAGAAAGAAAAGCAGTGTAGTGTAATTGTTATTAGATAAATTCTAGAGTCAGATGTGAATTCAAATCTAGTTTCCTTTCCTTTACTCTATTATATGACTCTGGGTAAGTTATTTAACCTGAGGCTCAGTTTCCTTACCTGTACAAGGAGTTAAAGAGAGTACTTTCCTGTAGGATTGTCACTAGCTTTAAGTGAGATGAAAGAATTTAAAGTTTAAATTGAGTTTAAAGAATTCAGCAAGTACTTGCATATAGGGATAGATAAATGTCAGGTACTGTTATAATTATTTTCAACCTTGGCTATTCTTCATAACTACCTGTGGAAATAACTAAAAATGCAGGTGTCCAGGCCCTGACTCCACGGATTGTTTAAGTCATTAAGTCTGGGGGAGGGAGGGGCCAAGAATCCATACCTTTAAAAAGCTTTCCAGGTGGTTATTAGGAACAGTTTTTTTTTTTTTTTTTTAAAAGATGACCGGTAAGGGGATCTTAACCCTTGACTTGGTGTTGTCAGCACCACGCTCAGCCAGTGAGCGAACCGGCCATCCCTATGTGGGATCCGAACCCGGGGCCTTGGTGTTATCAGCACCACACTCTCCCGAGTGAGCCACGGGCTGGCCCTAGGAACAGTTTTGGAATTGAAAATGAGATCAAATTATCTCAGAGGGTCTTACTCAGAACCCCAGCCCAGCACATGACTAAAGGAGCCTCTCAAGAAACTTTACTTTGAAGCTGGTTGATTAGCTTAGTTGGTGCTGATAACACCAATATCCGGGGTTTGATCCCTGTACCAGCCAGCCAAAAAAAAAAAGGAAAGAAACTTTGGTCTATACTATTAATTGCTCAGTCTCTTAACCTGCAATGTGATATTCACATGATGACTTACCTTCTCTGGGAATTTTATTCTAATTTTAACTTCTGTGTCCTAAGCAAACTTGAGCTATGTCAGACAAGGAGGTGCTGTTGTAGGTACAGGTCTGATGCAAGCAATGAAATATAGATCCTGCTCTAAATGCTTCTGAGGAGAGAAACTTTTTTTCCTGCTTAAACATTATTATATATTAGTTTTCCTTTGAACATTGTGTATGTGGCATATATCACCAAAATAATGTGGGAATTAGGTGGCTTTGGAACTTGGAAGGAAATAAAACTTATGATATAGCTTTCATGTAAATGAAATAGTATAAAATTTCTAAAATTATGACAATTGAAATATAAAATTAATATCTGATTTCTGATAAATAAAGATACTATTAAAATAATTGTGCTGCCTTTTTCATATGCAAAGAGCCATTCCACCTGAAACATCTTTACTGTTTTTATTTTCTCTCTCAATAGGAACTATGCCCGGTTCCGACAGAAACCTCTGCAAAGATACAGTCTGACTCAGTGGGTTGACAGGAACATGCGAAGCCACCATCGGTTCCAGCGTCTCCCAGACTTCTAGTACAGTCCATTTGCTCATCCCATCAGCAGTGATGTTCCCTATCCAGGGTCCTGTCTAGAGCAGAATCTCATTTTCTTCCACTGTTTCGTGCTATGTAGGTTTTTAATTTTATTTTTCATAAGATTTTTATTTAAAGAATTTGTTACCTTTTGGAAATGCCCATTGCTGACTTGAATTTTTTTGTATGAGGTCCCTACTGATTTTGTGCGTGTGTGTATGTGTGTGTGTGTCTGTCTATGTGTAAGCAGTGTTAAGTTGATATCGTTTTTTTATTTTTAATTTAAATTGAAGGTGACTGCCTCCTGAAAGCCAGCATAAAGCCAAAACAAACACCCAGGCTTAAGTAAAGCACCCACCTTTATGCAGAGGTGAAGTCTACTTCTGGTGCCCGAAAGAAGTAATCTTTTAATCTCCTGTATGGAAGAGATTCTTTACCTGGCTACAAGCCAGTGTTAATTATTACCAAAGACTTGTGAATGGATATAAGTCACGTTTAACAACCCCTCTTATTTTTTTATTTGAATCTCTGAATACCTGTCCGTATTTTAAAGTTGGCAATCCAGGACACACTAAGTAGGATGGAGAAGGAGAAAAATCCTGTTGAAAGGACAGATAAAAATTATTAAGTTCTCTCCTCTCCTTTGTGTACCTACTAGCTGCCTTTATTTATTTATTTTTTTAGCTTTGTTTTTTTTATTCTTTGTTAAACTTAATTTGCATAGTAGTGTTTACAAATCTTACACATCTTAACTCTGACAGAAGACTGCTGACTGACCCCTGTTGAATACCTTATGGTCTTGTGACTGTCTCCTCTGCCCTGATTCAAGGATTTTCCTTCTCTTTTTTCCACCCTTAGTTACCACCCTGACTCTTAAGTGTCTATCTGCGGTATTCCTATATCCTGTTAGACATGGATATGTTTCTTCAGAACGGCCCCCCTGCTCTCTCCATTGAAGAGCTGCCCACCCAGAGTCTTGATTCTGGGACAGGCCATTGCCACTGAAGAGTCAGTTGGTTTTCACTTTCATCTGCTGAACTTGAAGTATCAAGTATGGGTGTTAATCAGGGAGCTTCCATCCTGTGGCAGAGATTTTGGAGAGGCATTCTTTTGTCTCCATTATTGGTTAACAAGAGGTGCCTTTAGACCCTGGATGTTACACCATCTCCTCACTTGGTCAAGCCCCTGTCATATAGTTTCATGTAACTGCTAAAGAGAGTCTAATATAGTTGTGGTTAGGCCTATGCACAAAAGCATTACCTGATCTTAAAGATTGGTATTCTAACTAAAGTTGACAGACTGTGCATCTGTCTTAATGGGTGTCTTAGGAGTTTGTTATTCTCACTCTATACACAGCTCTAGACATTTTGGGAGGTTTTGCAGTCTGGCATTTTGGGAGGTTTTGCAGTCTGCTACTGTTGTTCATTCTCTTTGAAGGTTGTTCATAGTTGCTGTAGCTTCTGTGTGGTTTTGTTTCATCAGCCCTACCTTAGTATGTGAGTAACCCATCTTAAACATCATGCCCCACTTTAGAAACTGACTTGGGAAAAGCTTGGTCATTCAAGCACCCGTAAATTTGGATGGATATTCCTAAATGTTTACAGTTTTATCCAGTCCAGGATTTTCTTTTCCTTGGACATTTGGTTTAGATTATGGGGCCAAAATGCAACTGAGAAGTTCTGTTCAAGGCAATAGTCAAAATCTATTATTTCAGTTGGCATAATTGGCATTTACTACGTCAGTCAGTTCTCCAGGCTGCTCTAAAGTAGCTTGATGGAGTGAGACATGCCAGACATACACCTATGGGACCATAGCATAATTAAAATTAAATGTAGTTGGAATAGCTAGCATTGCAGCTGTCTAGTTTCCCACAGATAACTTGAGGACTAAAGGGAGACAACTTTGCTTAGGCAAAAATCTAAGACTCATGTTCCAGCCCTCCTGGTACAGGAAGGTTTAAGACTGAATGTGTAATGGCAGCATTGCCTTTGCCAAATCAAATGAGTGACAGGTTAACTAGAAAATGTGACAATCACATTTCCTCTTAGCTCAAATAATTCTGTTTTTCCAAAGTTTTAGCAGCTTAATTAAATCTGTTGGACTGGAGGAGGAGAGAGCTGTTCTCTAGTGGTTAACATTAGGTATTCTTTAAGAAGAAAAAACAAAGCCAAAGAAAACTCATTTGGCATGTTCGCCTTAAAGATGGTAGTGGGTAGGATCTGGAGTTTTAATCTCTTTTCAGAGCTGCATATCTCTTATATTTGGTGTTGGCCTCTAAGTCTAATATTTCAGGTGGGATTCTTGGTGTATTTTTTATTTGAATAAGGGTTATGTGCATTTAATGGCCTCACCTAGCTTTCTTCATCCATGATGACATTCTCACCACAAGGGTCTTGACAAAACAGAGTAAAAATGTGCTGCTTACATAGTTTACTTGTAAGTAAGGAGCCTGAAATAATCTGTAGTTTTGCATCTAATACAGGTCCCGGTTTACTTGTGTTGTTGTCAGGATCAATTATGAAACTGAAGTTTGGTGCCTCCTCTTTATCATATTTTTTCCCTTGTAACAGTTGTGTTTAATGTCATTAAAAAGAAATAAAAGTTCTTGTGAGTGGCGTATGTTATGTGGCTGTCTATTGTGGGCTTTGGAGGAGGGTTATTTGCCTTGCTCCTTTGCATAGGTAGGTTAATGGGGTATGTATGGGAGGGGGTGGCAGTTAGTAGAATGTGGCACTGAGAAGAAGAGGATGCTTGCTCCCTGTTCTTTTGAGGGTAAGTCACAGTGTTGAGAAAGGCATTCCAGCAGTTAAGAAATGTTGAAATTGATTGGGATTTGCTGCTACATATGGTGCATGTCAGGAGCCTGACATAGGGAGAGCCTGAAATATCACTGTGCTGCTGTTTTTGCAGAGGGGAAAGGTGGCTCATCCCTGATCAGGCAGGCATGGCCTTGCATTCCTTCCCATGGCTGTGTGGTTGGCACCCATGTCTCTGCTTCTCCAGAGCTAGCACTGATTAAGGAAGAAGCTGTGCTATGCTGGGGCATTATAACTTTGAAGGAAATATGAGAAACCAGAATTGATAGCACAAAATTAATGATGGTTCTTAACCCAACTTCTCCAGAAACTGCTGCTTCTCAAACCTAAAGTGAGGGTTGGATAAGTGTGGGTAGATGTGGGAGACACAGCATTCCTTAGATCCCTTTAGTGAACCTAAGCTTCTTAGACTTACACCCAGAAGCAAGGATAAAAGGGAAGGCAATAATAGATTGTCACCTATATTAGCCACTGCTTCTAAAATCTCAACCCACACTGAGAAAACAAGTAGGAACATGTTTGGACAGGCTTTCTGGCCTGCTGTTCTGTAAGTTTTGTCGTATATATTATTTTAGACAAAATACGTATTCTGAGTCCAGGCAAAAAGCTCAATATAAATTTGCTGAGTACTCAGCTCTTTGATATTGTCTCAATCTAAGGTACTCTTGATCTATACATATCCATCTTGTTCCTGTCAGGTGTAGATGATCCTTTGTATGGTTATTACTTAACTCCCTTTTTAGCAATGTGTTACTATTGTAGGAACCAAAGTTTCAGAGACCACGCTGAATTCTCTGAACTAGTGATGTCCCTTACCCACAGTTCATTTTACATTATGGGAAAGTGAGGTGGAAAAGGAGAAATGGATCTTTTCTAAAAGGAATGGGCTCATTCTCTAACCAGCCCATTTTAGCTTTTATTTATTTTATTTTATTTTTTATTTTTTATTTTTATTTTTTCCTTTTTGTCTTTTTTACTGACCGGCAACGGATCGCAACCCTCAGTGTCGCGCCCGTACTGGACCGGGACCGGCAACGGGATCGCAATCCTTGGTGTTGCTCCCGCACCTCGCTCAGCCAGTGAGCGGGACCCGGTCTGTACGTGGGATCCGAACCCTCGTTATTTTATTTTTTATTTTTTATTTTTATTTTTTCCTTTTTGTCTTTTTTACTGACCGGCAACGGATCGCAACCCTCAGTGTCGCGCCCGTACTGGACCGGGACCGGCAACGGGATCGCAATCCTTGGTGTTGCTCCCGCACCTCGCTCAGCCAGTGAGCGGCCGGTCTGTATGTGGGATCCGAACCCTTGGCGGGAGCGCCGCTGCACTTCCAAGCGGTGCACTGTAGCAGTGCGCCACCGGGCCAGCCCCCCCATTTTAGCTTTTATAGGAAGAAAAAACCCAACCATCTAAAACTAGAAAGCAGAGTTCCCTGCTTTTCTTAGTGTTGTCCTTCTTTTCTTTTTTTTTAAATGAAGTTTATTTATTGGTGGCTGGCGGGTACTGGGATCAGAACCCATGACCTTGGTGTTATAAGGCTGCACTCTAACCAACCCAGCTAACCAGCCAACCTGTTGTCTTGGTTTTCTAAAAGAAAAAAGAATTATTCCTAAATTGACTCTAGGGTGTGCTTGCTTTGTATGCCTGAGCACCTGTCAGGAAAAAAATTTTCACTTGTCACAGGAAGCATCAGCTGGTCAGTGGTGGAATTCTTTAATGAACAACCTCCTGCCTTGTCATTCCTCCCCACTTGTCCTTCCCCTATGACAACTGGAACATGCCATACACAGAAAACCTGGCCCTCCCCATTCTTCCCCCATTGAGAAAGGGGTGGAATGTAATCTTTTGCATAATCTTTAAAGCCATCCAAGTGATAGTCCTGAAATGTATCACTAAGGAACTACTTGTATATAAAGATCTCCTTCAACTTAGCTTCAAGCCACATTTGAAGGTTTGGGAATATTTTGTACCGATAGAGCTTGGTGGGGTTGGAGCTAGTTGGGAGGGTGGGGGTTGGGCAGGGTGTCCCATTTATAGAAGCAATTTCTTCTTAGAGGCTTCTTCTTAAAAGCAAAATCCAAAAACTGTCAAATAGGTTTAAAGAGGGAGAGGAAAGTAGAAGTCTTGAAATATCATGTGAATGGACTGGTGAGATGTTACATATTTCTGTAAAGGGTTGAAATGGTGATCTTAAATATGGAGTCTAGAGAAGGCCCATACTGAAAAGCTAGGTGTTGAAGGGACAGGAGTAGGAAGAGAAAAGGACTCCTGCTCCACAGAAACATTCACTAGTCTGTCTGCCCTCCGACCCTGAGGTTTCCCTCTAGTTCCTAGGAGCACACCCTTTGGCTCCTACTCTAGGATGCAGATGGCTCTTGGGAATCCTTTTTAACCCCTGTTCTTGGCAGGTAAGGAAACCAAGGCCTACTCTCAGAGAAGTAACTTTCCTGAGGTGTTACGTGATTACAAGACAGGTATTCCTACCTCTCATTTTGGCATTCCTCCCACGGGCCTCTTGGTCTGAAAGACCTGCCTGTGCCCTTTGAAAGTTGTGAGCAATCTCTGCGGATCTTGAGTGGTGGTGAAAGGACCACATCCCAAGTCACAGCTGTAGGGTTTGACCTTGCAACTACAGTTGATTCAGGAAAAGTTCAATCTTTGTAGAACTTGGGAGTTTATGGAGATAATTAAAGGGAATGGAGTTTTATCTAAGCCAGGAGTGTTGTCTGCTACTCTTCCCTCATTCCTTTTATGATGTTCTACAAGCACAGATTTAGCTGAAGACAAGAAACCCCCATTAGCAAAGCTCCCTGAGCCCCACTGACAACTATGTATACCTAATGATGACTTGGCTTCTCTATCATTTGGCACTAGATGGGCACAGAAGGCCTAGGAAGTGCCTCCCTGAGGTTTGGCTTAGAGTTCTGTGTGCTAATCAGTTTCCTATTTTCCCACCCTCCCTCTAAGACCTGTTTTCCCTCTACTTTCAGGACCTTCCAGAACAGTCTGCTATAAGCCCTGCTTAACTGACATTTTCTCCCCAAGCTTTTCCTGGCTCTGGACAGGAATGTTCGAGGTGCCCCATTTACTGGTTTGCTCATTGCCTGATGGCATCATTACCTTTCAGCCTGCTGTTGGGATCATAATGATGTTTCTTTAACAGCCCAAAACAGCAGGCTGTGAATACTAAGCTATTGAAAGCAGCTTTTGTAGTTCCTTTTCACTTCCTTCCTTGCCCTAGGGAGAAACAAGAATTGCATTCCTTTGGCCAGGGAAAGCACCCAGCCCCGTCCAGAAGGGAAAACCCCTTGTTTTAAAAACTGAGTACCAGCCTGCATACCTATGCAGTGAGGCAGCCTAACTCAGTTTGGGGGAGCCTCAGTAATAGGATGACGGAGCAGTTATTTTCTTCTCTTACACGTGCACCCCCATCTGTTCGAGATTTCCCTTCCAACTCCAGCTTGGCTGGCAGGCATGTCCCTAAGAAGCTGCAGGCCAAAATGGAGAGGGAGAACTGACGCCCTCCTCCACACATCCTGACTTGCTGCCAACTGCCAGAAAAAGAGGGCAACATTTAGGCATTTACCAGAAGACAAGGATGTGCCTTTTCATTCGTCTTTTTATTTTACATTTAAAAAGTGGTTATTGCTCTAACTGGATCAGAGGTAAGGACCTTTCTCCTAAGGAGCCTTGGCCTTGCAGCCCCATTCAGCAGGGATGGAAGTACAAGACAATGAGTGGAGCCTCATGCCTTCCCATGAGGAAGCCCTTAGTATTGCTGATGTCTGCCCTTTATCCTGTCTCTCCTCCCTTGTGCTCCCACACGTGGGCAAAGCAGAGCAGTGGCCGACACAGGCTTGAGAACTCTTGTAGACTAGAAGGGGTGGTCACTGGGTGATGGCTTTCTGCTCTCTGGCTCAGGGGCCAGTGCTCTTATCATTCAGTTCAACAAATGTTTACTGAGCGCCTACCATGTAGGTTTGTGCTAGGCGCAGTCCTCCCACACTCCCATCCTTGGCTACCAATGGAAAATGCAGAGGTCTACCTCTTCCCACGCAGGCATTTGGTAGCCATAATTCATCAGTCCTAGGGAAGAGTCTGCCTTTCCTCATCAAGCACCATTTTTTTTTAAACCAGAAAGGGGCAGTGGAAAGACCTGTCATGTTATACCATTCAGGCTCTAGGGAAGGACATGAGGACCCTGGGTAACTGTCAGAGAACCCTGGATGAGAATGGCAAGATAGGAAGACCCCAGAGGCCAATGGTGACAACCAGGGCTGCTCTGCCTGTCCATAGTGAGTGACTCAGGCCTGCCTTCCAGCAGTTTCCACTCCAGAGTGGGTGGTTTAGCAGACCCTAGGATGCTGGATGTGAATGTGCCTTCTCAATTGTCCAAGCCAGCACTGCTGAAACTCTAAGAGAATCTTCCTAAAGAAACAGGGCCAATGCCTTCCAGGTTTTCTTAAGACCCCAGACTGATTAACTTACAGTCAAAGAAGACAGAGGATGCAGGCTACCAGCTCAGTCCTTGGGGGTATCTCTCTACCCTCTGGAGTGCAGCCCTCTGATTTTGTTTTCCAAGTGACAGATAACTCTCACACACTTGCAAAGCTGTGCATTATACCACAAACAAGTCCTTGATGGCTGATCCAGAAAAGGCTTGATGGCAGCCATGACCCTGCACGACAGGCAGCCTCACGGCTTCCCTGATGTTCCTTGGTCTGAAAGACACAGCTTGAGTCAGTCTTAGTGCTTATCGTCTCCCAGAGCTTTGTGCATTTTCTCAAAGAGGAAACCAGTCCAGGAGAGGCGAGGAGGCAGAAGGCTGTTTCTCATGCAGCTTTGCCTTTTCCAGAATGGGACCAGGCCTTTTAATTTTGTGGCTTATTTATTTTTTTGCAGAATTCGGGTTTGTAGTTCAGCCTCCTTCATCAGACTAGGACAGGGGGAAGAGGGAGAACTGTGCAGCTATCTGTGCCTCCTCCCCCACCCCGCTGCTGTCTCCCTCTCCCTGTGCCCTGGACCTGGGGACCAGCAGAGAAGAAAAATGAAATCCTTTTCCCTGCAGACAGGCAGTCACGCTTCGATGATGTTCACTGAGGGCTTGTTTGGAAACTGGGAGGAAAAAAATGAGAGAAGCGGCCAGGGCTAATTGTGAATAGACTTCTTGCAAGGTTGGAAACAGAGGACAGAAGAAGGAAGGGAGCAGCAGGGCTGCAGTCTAAAAGCCAGGCTCTTGTCCCTTGTGGAAAGAAAAGAGTAGCCCTGCCTGGATATCTTGTCTGTCTGCCTTCTCAAACCCAGCCTTCAGCCTCACTCAGCTGAATGGCCAAGACTGGGTCCTGGGTCCATGGCCCCTGGTCCCCAGTCCACCCCCAGCAGACTCATCCCTCTGGATGGTTTTCTCACATCCTGCAGATGTGCCTCTGAGTGCAGCCTCAGCCACTGACATTATTGAGGTGCTTCTGGAAATGGGGGTTAATAAGAGGCTTCAGGAAATGCACCAGAAAAGAGAAGCCAAGAGAGAGGACAGTAAGCCAGAGGGTACAGGAGAAGGAGGGAGGAGATGTAGAGAGGGCCAGATGTTTGTTGGATAACATTGTCAGAATCATGAGATCCTCTCACATTCTCTACTGCCTTTCTTCTGAGCTGCTCAAGCAAGCACTGAAAAGGTTTTCATATCTGTTTTACAGAAGAGGAAATGAGGATACAGAGGTAAAGCACCTACCCAAGGTCACGCAGCACAGCAGGAGCAGAAATGAGCCCAGAACCCTCTACCCTGGTTGTCCCACACCAACCAAGAATTCTGCCCTTCCTACTTGCTGCCTCCCCCCCTCCCTTTTTTTAACCACCGCTGGCCCCTGGCACCCTTCAAAAGGAGACGATCCAAAATCAATTCGCAGTGGCTTCTGTGTCACACGGTCAGCAGCCAAGCCTGGCTCTGCCCAGCTGCAGCCATGCCAAACCCTGAGCTGACCCTTTCTGCCGTCCAGGGAACTACCAGCACACAAGGCACAGGGCCACCCATGCAGGCCCAGGTCTTGCCCTCACCTTGCTGCGGAGCAGACCTCCGCTCTGGTGCTCTGGTGTGCTGGTTTCTGATGCACTCTTGGTTTTTTCCTTGTTGTTATTTGGTTCATTGTCCTTGATAATGTCATACTGGCGGCAGAAGAGGGCGATGACACCTGGGGTGAAAAGCGGGAGCAGTCAGAGGCCAGGCCTGAGTGCCTTCCTCCCACTTCATTCCCACCAGCACTTGCTCTCCCCTACACTACTACAGCACCCTCCCTCTCCAGCTTCATCCTGTTCCCTCCCCAGCCAGCCCTTCCACTGATGCCGGGCAGTGGATCTTCCTACAACATGTATCTGATCGTGTCTCCTCCCCTTCCTTCCTATAAACCTCTGAACAACTCCCCTTTTCCTTTAAGGAAAAACAGAAACAATAATAGCACTTGCTGAGCATGTGCTAGGCCCTGTGTGCACCGTATTCTACCTCACTTAATCCTCACAACCCTATGAGGGTACCTATTATTGTCATCCCAGGTTACAAGTGAGGACACTGATGCAGAGAGAGTTTACCTAATTAACTCAAGGTCAGACAGTGGTGGAGCTGGGATGTAAAACTCCAGGGCCTGCAGTCTGTTAAATGTTTAGTTTTATCAAACTGATAACACACGAACATAATATTTTTTGAAAGATAGTTTTAAGGCAGCCAACTCCAATTCTAGGTTTTTCCCCCATTTTATCTCTATACGTATACTATTTCTTGATCTGTTTTAGATATCTGTTGACTTCGTACCATGATAGATAAAGTCCCCTACGTCCCTCCCCATTATCCTAACATTTACATCACAATTTTGGGTTAATTCATTATGTTTATATTGTTAAGTGAATACTGTCTGTGCCAAGTCTAATAGTGCAACATAAGCGAGCCTCCTCTTTTGTACAACTGTTTTTCCTGCCTTTTTTAAGTGCCTATTTTTCAATGTGCTGAAGGAACATTTTTTCCCAAATGCTTCTACAATAGTATGCCCTCTCAACCACAATACTAATAAAGCTTTACCATGGTATTCAAATCCCTCAAAAGACTCCAGTCTACAGCCTCACCATCCTTTATTACCCATTTTCTACCTTCTCTCTTAGATCAGAGCTGCACTGAGCCAGATTGAGCTTAATTTCTTAAACACATCATGCCCAGAACACCTTTCTTCTTTTGGCTGCCTAACGAACTCCTACTCATCCTTCAAAGCTCAATTCCCATGTTATCTCCTCTCTGTTTTCTCTGATTTCTACCCCTAGCCCTTGAATTAATTCCCTTTCCTCTGCTCCCATACATGGTATATTACAGCATTCATCATACTGAATTACAGGTAAGTTTGGACCTGGCTTCTCCCAGACTGAGCTCTTCGCAAGCACAGGGCCTTCTTGGTCTTGACTGTAGCACTACTGTTTGGAACGGAGTCATTGTTCAGTAAGTATTGGTTGAGTTGAGTACAAAAATGAATGAAATTTGGTTTTTATCCTTAGGGAGCTCACAGGCCAGGGGGAAAGGAGAGAGACACGAGCCCAACTAACTTACATAAAAAGGGCTTAAGAGAGGGACAGACGGTGCTGTGGAGCAGAGAGGCAGAAGGGACATTCTAATGGATGGATTGGGGAAGTCTTCATGGTGGTAGTCTCAGAGCTGGTCTAAAAGGATGAGGAGATTAGGAGAGAGTCCCAAGCCTGAGGCCAGGCAATGACTTCCCCTGCACTGCCCAGGCCTGAAGCCCCTGGAGGCACAGCACCCCAGAAGAGGAAGAAGAGGCTGCGGCCCTGGCTGGAAGGTTAAGGGGCTATGGATGTGCCCACCCTAGGGGGCTAACCCACTTCTGAGGGAGAGAGAGGTGAGTACTCATTTAATCCTACAAAGCAGCTATCAATACGCTATTTTTTTGTGAGGAGTGGGTTAGAGAAGGGGTCGGATCTGGTTCCCAGAGCTGTCCCAGGCAGGACTTGGAGGCTTTTCACCTTTTCTCTCAGATGTCTCCAAGACCCTTACCCTTTGTTTCTGTGAGAGAAGGTGTCTAGTCAGGGCCTCCATTTCCCAAAGGCTCAGGGAAGAAGGAGGCTTGGAGGCCAGACTCACCCGCCCACATGAACAGGACCACAACAATGATCAGCACCTCGCCTGTCCGCAGCTGCTGGTGCCTCCCCATCTCCTTCATGGTCACCTCATCTGTGGGGAGAGAGACACTAGGTCCAGGCTCCTTTTCTCCCCCAGCCACTGCTCTAGGGCAAAGCCCAAGACAAAAAGTGCTTATTTCTACAGGTGCCCACACATCTACCATAAAGAGATTCGAGAGCATATTATGGCTACTTGGTAGCTCAGTTGGTTAGAGTGCAGCCTTATAACACCAAGGTCATGGGTTTGGATCCCTGTACTGGCCAGCCACCAGAAAAAAAAAAATTATGGCTACTTGGGGTGGCAGTGATAGGACTCAATCCAAAGGTGGGAGTTTTTATACCCAGTGACTTTGGGGACTAGAGTGATCCTTCTGTCAGCTACTGCTTTACTTGGTTGTGGGGCTCTGAGGGGGAGGAATAGGGGCAGGTAGTACTCTCCTGAAGCCACTCACTGCTCTGGCCGTGACCACTCCTCACCCCTCCCCTGTTCCTCCCAACAGCCGCCCGTGCCTGCCTTTGTTCTTGGAGGCCATCTTCTCGGCCTCGCGTGGGGTCTTGAAGAGCACTGGCTCGCTAGCTGGGCTCTGGCCCTGGATGGAGATGGCCTGCACATGCACAATGTACTCAGTGTCCTCCTCCAGGTCCCAGAGCGCACACGAGCGGGTGGTGGTGTTCACCTCCTGGATGAAGCGCAGCATCCGCACATCCTTCTTCTGCAATGGCAAGAGCCCAGTCAACAGCCCCTTCTCCCACCTCCCAGCAGTGACATCCCTTACATCTACAATCTTATCAGTTCTGCTATCTTTATCTCCATTTCACAGAGAGGTTAGGGAGGTTGCCCCTTGCCACACATCTAGTGAGAATTGGAGCCTGGTCCCAAATCACAGGAGTGTCTAAGAGCACAACCCTGCTCTTAATTGCTGTGTTCCAGTTGAAAGCTCCTGAACCCTTCTTCCCTGACTGATTCCCTTCTAGGGCCCCAGTTTTAAGCTATGTGTGCAACTTGCTGCCATCTCTCTTGCCCCGAGTTCCTTTTTCCTTTCTATTTCTCCACCCCCATCCCTCCACCTCCACACCACCCCCACTATCTTGATGAGTCTTTCCCTCCCAAGGACCCTCAAGGCTACCTGCTGAGAGATGGCAAATCCGATGACAACCTCATCCTCCAGGACATCCCAGCTCACCACTGCAGAGTTGGCCTTGAGGTGCCTGACTGTGACGTTCACAGGGGCTGAAGGGCTGTCTGGGGGGTGGGAGGCACCTGAGCCTGAGCCTTCTCTGCTGTGAGGCCCAGGCTCACTGTCTCATAAGTGAGAAAGGGAAACCTGGGGGAGGACACGCAGTGGGAGAAGGAAGAAACTAAGGCCTCAAATCGGGTCGGCAACATGGCTCTCAGTTCCTCAGTGGGTTGAAAAGCCAGGCCTGAGAGGCCCCAGGCTCCTTGTGAATAGGGTAGAAACCCTGCTGGCCACAGGCCGGCCCCACCAGGCATCCCAGGCTAAATCGATGGGCCTGGGACAGGGCCAGGTCTAATGGATAGGTAGTTGGGATTGGGAGGGACAGGTATGGAGGGGAGATACAGAAGCTGAAGGCTGGCTGATGAAAAGCAGTAAAAAGGACTGCCAGGCCAGTGCTCTTTTTACAATACTGCACTGTTAAGTGAGTGACCTTGAGGGAAGGAGAAAGACCCAGAGGTCGAGAAGGGCTCTGTGGGGGTGAGCCCTGAGATAGCAGTGAGGAGCAACAGAAGAACCCCCCGAATTGTGGTGGCCCAGGCAGAACGAAGCTGGAGGAAGGGTCTATGTGAGACTCTTTCCCACACTCCACTGGCCCCAGGAAACGTGTGGAGAGGTGGTAGGAGAAGATGGGGTCACTAGGGGCAGGGCTCCTCAGTGGAGAGTCAAGAGGGCAGGGTGGAGCCTTCTGGATGGGAAAGAGGATGAATGGGGATCAGTTGAGAAGAGAATAGGAGGGAAGCAGGAAGGAGAGTGATGGGGACAGTCGGGGTCAGGGAAGGAAGAACCTTCTAGGAAAGGGGCAGTGGAGTCACACAAACCTTTGCATCTCCCAGGGGGCAGGTGCTGCAAAGGGAAGACCTTGGCCTGAGCTGCACCCCCTCACCCCATCAATAAGTGGACCTGAGGCCCAAGGGCTGGGACCTGGGGGAGACAAAGCCAGACAAGGAGATGGACAGAGACAGACACAGACAGGTGGCGGCAGACAGAACCAGAGAACAGACAAGGGGGTATTGGAGACAGACACAGAGCTGGGAGTAAGTAGAGAGCACTGAGCTTGGGAGAGACAGATGGGGAGAAGGAGAGATGGGCAGTAAGTGGCAGCCAAAGGAAAAGAGACAGGGCGGCAGGAAAGGCTGGGCGAGGAGGAGGCCCATCCCCTCCGGGCAGGCCAGGCACTGACTGCACCGGACTCTGGGGTCCACCCTCACCAGCGCTGCGCCCTCGGGTGCCAGTCCCCATCCCCTTCACAAATGTTCCTCCTGCAGAACGGATCCCATCCGCTCCTCCTACAGAGCTGGTCTGTGAGAGGTCTCTGGGGACAGCGAGGCAGGCCCAAGGTGGGGGCACTGGTGTCCTCAGCTGCTCCCTGGGCCAGAGAAGGGAGTTAGGGAACCTGAGGCGAAGACCTTGGGTCACGGGAATGGGACTGGGGGACTGAGGACCACAAGAAAACCCAGGGCAGAGGTGATGGGAAGAGGTTTGGAGGCTGAAGGACGGGTCTGGGGTCAAGAAGGTGAAGAGAGGCTGGGGGTTGGGCTAGAGGAGCAGTGAGCGGCCGAGACAGGGGTCCCTAGCGAGCAGGGGAGTGAAGCGAGGAGCCCCAGGTGGCTGGGCGGGAGAGGAGCCTCCCGGCGCCGGTCCCCCGCCCCGGGCCCCCTTACCCGCCTGCACCAGCGCGAAGC